AATTTTTGTAAGAACTATACAAAATATATATAAAGTACATATACCAAATTAAAGGGAATCAAATTTCCTATTGAATGAGCTCAAGCACATCCATTGGTTTCTAAGAAATCTTGATTTTAAAAATAGCTTATTTTGAACTTTAACCTTAGATAATTGTTTCCCCAAAAAAAAAAAGAAGTATACCGTTATACTCATATTTTGTTTTCTAATTTGAGATTTGGAGCCAAACTGCATTTATGCCCAATTAAAATGTAAACAAAAAACAGCTGTTTCACTATGGAGGAACTTTCGCCGCTATTGGCAAATAAAATGAGCTGTTCGCTTGTCATTATTGACTGTGCATACCTATGACAACAGAATATGACACGATAATGACAATTGAACTGTGACAATTGAAGCGAAGCCGAAGATGAAGATGATGACGGATCCGAAGACGAATTGTTTTCGTTGCGGCCAAGCTGGCCAGTGTACATAGTGGAAGATGAATGAAATGAGGATTTGTTTCTAAATAAAACTTTTTTTAGATAAAATCAAAAGAAAATAATGAAAAAACAGCAATTCATGAAATAATTTGTATAGGACCACTTTTGGAGAATTTCGCCACTAGTATTATGTGTTACGGCAAGACGTACAGACATTTTTCGAATATGCAAGAATGCCAATTAATACGTTTGAATACATTTTGCCAAAAATTTAGCCAATTTAGCCAATTTCTTGAGAATCACGTTTTTTTCCAATTGCAAACAGTTAAATAAATTGTAAACAACTCATCACAGCAAGCGATTCGTCTTTGAAAACAGTACCGCACAGTTTCAAGCTGACTGCTTGCGCAACGTCTTCATCTTCGTCTTCGTTTGCACTGTGATCACTTTCACATGTTTACTACTGCACTGTTTTTCGTAATCGGCTTTGTCTTCATCTTCATATTCGGCTTCGCTTCCACTCTGTTTCCAACCTTATGGGCTGTTTTTGCTTACGCGTAAAAGCACATTTAGCGCATTTAGCTCTAAATGCTACTCTAAATGTACATTTATCCATACAAAATTCGTCACCTAAATGCAACTCCATTTATGCATTAAGAATCTAAATGCTAAAAGCAACCCTGTGATCTTCCAAAATTTCCACGATTCGAACAAGGTTTTAATGTGAAAAAGTGTCAACATTGCTTTTTCGAGTATACAGTCGCTAGCTGCGTTTCAGTGATCGCCGATCGAGATTTCATTTATTATTTTACATTATTTGGATAAAGAAAAGTTACGCAAATTCAACATCGATATGATGCTGATAGAAATCTGGATTAATTTGTGATCAACTCTGTTTATTTTGTTTCCTAATTAAGTATGGAAATTATAATTGACAGCACCGACAAATGAATATATACACAAACAAATGTTGGGTTATGGTTAAAACAATTCAAGTTTTTGTATTGAATTTTCGGTTTAGAATTTTTTTTTTCCTATTCAGTAGGGGTTTTTGCACATTATCTTTTCTGTGAGAATTTATCGTAATAGATACGGATCTGAATAAGCGACTGGAACACGGCTGTTTGTCAAAAGCATACGATTTCGAACTCGCGTAAATGTACATTTGCTAAATGCGGTAGCATGAACGCTCTTCGAAAACATATGTTCGAAAGTGCTAAATGTTGCATTTTAAATGCAGTAAAAACGCTGCATTACTTGGACAAATCGATATACGATAAAACATAGAATCGAAAATAAAGTACACAAAGATTAAATAATCGATAAAATTGATTAGATGGAATATAAAGCCCGAAACACAACACTAACCTGTGTGTCAAGATATGCATTCCATCCTGTGGAGACGAGCAGTTACAGACAATTGTCGCAAACTATCACTAGCCTCCGCGGGCAAACGTTTATTAACAAAAAGGAGTAACCAAACAAACCTGCAGGAACCAGTGACATTCAGTGACAGTGAAACACAGCTATCGCCAAAATAGCAGACCTTCCATTCAGTTTTAGCGTTACCGTACGCTCTAGAAAAATATTGGATGGTGAAATTTCTGATACGTTACCGGGTGCACTATACGCCGAAGAATAAACTATTTAGATTTCTGTGCGGCGAACAGTAACCCGTAACAAACCTGCTTCACTCCACGACTCTTCAGAGAAGCGAACAGGAAAACGAGTTAACTGTCAGTCAGAATTATACCGAGTAAACTCTGGTAAAAAATTCAAGTCCGGTGTTGCGGTGGTTATCTATTATTTTAGGCCAGAGAAGCCTATACCCCCCACCCCGCAAGTGTCGAAGTGGTCTTAACACCATGCCAGCCACTAGTTGAACGCCGCTAAGAAGAACACAGGGCATGCTGTCCTGAAAAGCACACTTGGCCGCGAGGTGGCTTGGAAAAACGTGTATATATTTATTTTGCTTCTTATTTATTATGGCTTTGCGGCCGAAGAGACATTTTCTTCTGGGAGAACTCCAAAATTAATTGAAGACATTTTGATAAGCAGAACTCGTCAAAACTCCAAAAAGGCGATCCTAGTGTTATTGCGGATTGCCAGGTAGTCCACGACTCCCGGTTGTGAGCGCGCGTGAACGCCCAATTTGCCATTCAAGTCCTCTAAGTCGTACAAAGCATTGCCTACTTTTCGCTGAACACGACACTTGATGTATTTCGGCAAGAACTTAGCATTTATGCCTTGCCCGGTGATTCACAACCCTTGTACGTTTGTTGTACGTATTGGCTGCTCTGTCTTGCGCTTGCTCAAAGTTCTTCAGTATGTGTTCGCGAATGTTTGCTTGCTTGTCAGCTCTGCTTGTAATCGGGACTTCGTCTTGTCTTAGGCTACCAAGTTTCTCTAGGATGTTATAGGCTGACGCATGTTGTATCATATTTTGTCCAAATAACGCGAAGTATAGCGAGCTCTGAATCGACGTATGGTAATCGCTGCTTAAAACCAGAACCCGACAGAATTTCGGGAATATGTTTGTCCCAGTCCATGTGCTCTTGTTTATCTTTCAGGTATATTCTAAGAAACAGACTCTCTGTTCACTCGTTCAGAGGCGTTAGCCTGCGGTGAGTATAACCCGGTCTTAATGTGAGCAATCCCGTAGTTTTCAAAAAACTGCTCCATCTCCTTCGAAATGAATTGCTTCCTGTTGACACTATGGACGAATTGAGAGACCCCGAAATCTGGAAAAATCTCTCTGCTAAAGAAGCTAATTACAATTTCCGACGTCGCGTTTTGCATCGCCTTCAAAAGTACGGATTTGGAAAAATGGTCTAGCACTATGAACAAAAACTGGTTTCTTCTCTTTCATCCCGGGCATGGTCGTAAGAAGAGCATTTCATTGCGAGTTCCGTCCGCCCTTCCGGTAACCACAAACGCCAAAGCGAATCCTCTTCCTCTTCCACACCTTTTCGAAACATCACTCTTTTGTAAACTCTATTGTCGACTATGCGTAGATCGGGTAGCCCTTCATGATTGTTTTCAATTGTTTCGCGGAGCTCCGAGTACTCTACGCCGTCGAATTCCGGTGACGCCAAGTCAATTTCTAGAGGTGGGGGAGAAGAGAGTTCGTCCACGTCAAAACGTAAAAAAAGGTGTCCGGCACAACATTTAAAGAATCTGTACGATGCTCCATCCTAAAGTTGTATCTTTGCAATAGAAGCGACCATCTTGCCAGCCTGCCGCTCAAGTCTTTTTGTGTCATTAGCCACTTGAGACTTGAATGGTCAGTAATTATTCGAAAAGGCAATCCTTCAATGTATGGTCGGAAACGCTTGACATTAACTATTGCGACGAGGCATTCCAGCTCGGTGACCGTATAATTCCGCTGAGCAATAATAAGCTCCTTTGATACGG